ATTGCTCTTTTAGGACTGAATGACTGAATGACTGCTTGTTTGGCTGTGCTCTGTTAACAAGAGCTGAGTAGTTCCTTGTGCATCTGCTGCTGCTGATGGTGATTTCCTGCTCTTCCAAAAGGTCTGGAAAAACTGTCCCAAAATCTCCTTTCTGACAGATCCTCATCCATGGCAGAGGTAGAGCAGAGGGGACATGCTGACCTTCCGACAAATGAGATGTCAGTCTGGAGAGCCAGGTCCGTTACCAGGCCAGGGTACATAGTGCTGCTCTGCGGTGCTGCTGGAGGGGCAATGCCAGCCCAGAGGGATGCAGCACTGCTCCACAGGACAGCGCGGAATCCAGCACCTCTGGAACACTCGACTAGGAAAGGCCTTGAAGTGGAACTCTGCCTTTAGCAGCTCTTGTCTGGTGCCTCCCTCATGATATGGCTTCCACTTCTGTGTCGTACGGAGAGGAAAGCATCAGTGAATTAGGCATAAGCAGCCCTTGTTAGCACGCAAGAAGTGACTGCAGTCATCCTAGATGTTGGTCAGTGCTCAGTAGAGTGCAGCTGTGTAATTCAAACAGCACTTGCTAAGTGGCTTTTCTAGGAGATGATGCTATCATAACATATGCACTGTTTTTCCTTTTTCTTAAGGTAGACTTCAGAGAAAAGAAAGCTTTAAAGAGAAGCCAGCCCTGTGTTCCAGTGTATTACAACGAGCCATTTAATGCTTCTCCCAATACACTGCAAATATGTAAACTTCAAATTATAGTATTCACTCCATCTCCAACCTTGCTGTGTAGTGGCTGCAACAAATGATAGCTTCAATTCCTGAATCCTCTCTTCTCCCCTCTGCACTCTTGGGATAGCTGCCCCCATTACTAAACAAGACTCTGACCTCATGATCCACCCATCTTGTCTCTTCCATATAGCCTAGGCTGAGTTACAGCCCTTTATTTATTCACGCAGTGTAGGTTCCCTCATGCTGCTTCACCAATGCACATCAACTGTGACCTTGAGACACCATCCTCTCCTGGGATAAGCATGTTTTTCAGTCCCAGGCATCTCTGGAGTAAAGACTGACAGTTCTTTGAAGGAAGAAAAAAATAGCAGGTGGGAGGAATGACAGGCTGAGAAACGTTTTTGTTTAATAGAATAAAGTTGAGCTTGGTGAAACTGACTCAGTCTGCAAGCAACCAGGCCTACAGCAGGATTTCACTGCAGGGCTTTTTTGCATAGTAACTAATGTGATTATTTTTTTGCTGGTAGGAAGTAGATCTGCTCTGTGGGTCATTTTCCTATCCAATACAGAATCATGATCAACGTTATTATTTTTACAATGAGTTCTGCAATAGTCATTTGCTCCTAGAGAAAAAACTTGTTTATAAGGCGGCATACACTAGCAATGACAGCCTTCTAATGCTGAATTCAAACAATTTAAAGCGCCACAGGAAAGAAACCTGTTGAGAAGAGTCCTACATGACAGTCAAAGACATTCCTGAGACAGACACAAGTGATCCTGGTTCTCCAACAGCTAAGCAAGTGGATTTGCAGGGCACAAATTGCTCAAAGGCTGTGTGTATATAGCATCCATCAGAGCAGGAACCCTTCTTCTCAGCTGGGCTATGGAAAGGGATTCTGCTACAGCTCTGCAGTCTGACAAAAGACAAATCGTTTCTGTCTTGCTGTACCTCACTTTCCCAATGTGTGAGAAGGGCCAAGCTCTCCATGTGCAGGAAGCTTCTAAAGCTGCATTTCAGTGCAGTGGTTATCCTGTGTGAGACACTAAGCCAGGGCACTTAAACACCATCCCATGCAAGGAAATGAGAAGACAATCTAATATCCCTCTGAGATCATAATAGGCTGTTTTTAATGCCCTTCATTGTAGCAGTGCCTGGCTGTGTGACATACTCACCTATACTCTGAACCACAGCAGAGCAGGACATTCTTCAGACAGATGGGACCGAAGGACAGATCTTCTCAGAGAGACCACAGAGGAGAAGAACTTCTGCATGGTCATCTTTGGCAAAGTTTTGTTCTGCTGTTCTTTTAAACTGACATCGATAGGGATCATGACCTCTTCAGAGAACTCACTCATCCTCTGCTATTTTTAGCATTTTAAAGACTTTTGTCTCAGTGTCTTGCCTTTATCTTTCTTGCTGTAATTTAAACTTGTCGTAGAATCATAGAATCCTTAAGGTTGGAAGGGATCTCTAGAGGTCATCCAGTCCAAACCCCCTGCTCACATAGGGTCACCCAAAGCATGAGGCACAGGCTGCGTCCAAGCGGGTTTTGAAGAGCTCCAGAGAAGGAGACTCCACAACCTCTCTTGGGAGCCTGTTGTCCTTCAACCCTTTCATCACATCTTATTTACCACCTGCTTTTCTTTATAAACACTCGAACAATCAAGAAGACAGGCTTATGCCTTTCAATTGCTAAATGCATTGTCTGAACTCTGATTCTCTGAACTTCTTCTGGGCACTCTTTGGCAAATTTGCTATGTCTTAAAGTGCAGTGACTGGGATTAAGACAGTATTTGAGCTGAGATCTTAGGTCATCTGCAATGACCTAACTGGACTAATCCTTTTTATCTCTTGGTATACGATCTGCTTCTCTTACCACAGTTTTGCTGCCTCATCTTGTGCTTGGTAACTACTGCAGAGTGACATGCAGGCAGTAAATTCCAAGTCTGGAAGAGAAAAGTTCTTCCATTCAGCTTCCATCTGCTTCCCGATCTTGCTGTTATTTTTTATTATTTTTTTTTTTCTTTCCATCATCCCTAACATTCTGCTCTCTCTCTGTGCTTTACTCAGTCTTGCAAACAGAAGTAATAAACACATCAGAAGAAAAGCCAGGTTAGATACCTGTGAAACGGTATCTAACGGCAGAGAGGAAAGGCCTCTCTGCAGTTACCTTCACAAACACATGATGTGGTGCTTGCAGTATTCACCACAGGTGACAGAGAGAAATCACATTACGCAGCCAGGCTTCCGGGGATACATACAAGCACTTGTACAAGTCACCCAACTTGCTCTAACTTCCCACTATCATCTTTCCCAGGAGAACTTATATTACTTGTTTTTGTGCTTGTCAACACAAAAGGATTTGAGAAATATCAGTAGAAGAGTTCAAAGTAAAATGGAACTGGCTGAATTGCTATCTAAAAAAGAGTTCACTGTGGACTCTCAGCTCATGTAACTCCTATCACAAGACTCAAATGTCTTAAGTGTTAGGAGAAATTCTCACTCCTTTCATATCAGAATATAATTCAAAACTGCATATAGACAATTTAAACGACTTTCGCACCTATTAAGCACAGCAGCTATCATTTATCAGTCATCCAAAAGGTCCATCACTAGCACAATTTATGTTGTTAATACTTTTCTGTGCTGAGTGTTTCCATCCGCATCACTTTTGCATTACTGATGTTTCCCCTCACATTGGCTAGACCTCCAAATACAGCACCATCACACTGGAAATATCATTTAATGGCCAAATGAGGAATGTGTTGCACCTTTCACTTTCTGGTGGGTTCCCTGAAAAATATTGAGCTGAATGTAGGGGTGAGGACATTGAGAAATAGGGGTTGTAGAGGACTCCATGGAGGAGCTCTCCAGCGCATGTTATCCATGTAGTTAAAACAAACAAACAAAAAAAAAGGCAAAAAAAAAAGGCTCTTTCGACCTTTCTTAAAGTGACTTATAGTGCTTAAAGTGACTAAAGTGCCAAAGTGACTAAAAGCCACTAAAAGGGACTGTTTTGTCCCTGTTCCTTCATGACATATGTCATCCTTAGAACACCTCAGAAACTGACTGTGGACTCCAGTCTCTCTCTCTGCCAGACATTACTGTAGATTTCAGTTTTTCCTTGGTCCTCTTGGACATCTTTGAAATTACTGCAGTTTCAGTATTTAGGGAGGGAGCAGGGAGGATAGTACTTCATTCAGGGAGACAGGGAGAATAGACCAGTTCTTAAACCCCCACTGTGCAGTGCAGAGAATAAGGCCACAATTTTATTCTTTTTACATCTTCTAAGCTCTTGGTAGGCCCACCATAAACTAATGAAGACTTTTTGTTCAAACAGAACCATGTATTGATTAAAAAAAAATGTGGTAAAACCAGCAAATATAGAGAAAGACAAGTTCCCATGTTAGGGGGAAGTCTTTAGTGGCATTAAAAATTGAATTAGGGCTAAAAGTGATTTACTTTCTTGATAATGATGTTTTCCATTAAGTATTCCACCAAGTTAAGCAAAAAGCAGTTCAGCTGCCAACAATGACATGCTTAAATGAATGTGGACATCAGGTTCGCAAGTATATATTGATTTAGCTCCATTCCTTGTTCTACTTTTCTGAGATGAAGTGATATGATCTGCAAAATCCCAGTGTTCACACTGGTGCCTTTTCAAGCAAAAAAAAAAAAAAAGAGTGAATTAGGAGAGCACCAGTGTGAAATTCTGCTGGCAGAACTATGCCTTGATTTTTTCCAGTTTAGATATTCTGTAGATTTCCCCTACTGAGATACACACACAATTCCACAGGTTATGATCACATTCCAATTTCAACATATAGCAGTAGCTAAATCCATTTTTTGAGGAAGAACTGGAAGAGAACATGTGACTTTATGCAAATGTGCTATTACCATCTCTATTGTACTAAAAGCATCTATAACATATACTCTATAAAAAGTATTTATAGTGTAGACTATATTCTATTAAAAAACAGAAAATCTTTTGTTAGAATTGATATAGTTTCAACACATGACAGAAAAGCTGTGTTTTCTTTGATAGTTCTGCTAGAGAATGTAAGAAAATACAGAATAAATCTGCAGTTTTGGATAACCCTAAAATGAAATTTTATTTGAGCCGTTCCTTTGAACAACCATTTATTCTTAGAAAGCTTTTAACAATGTAGTTGTTTAATCCCATAGTACAAAAATAACTGTCTTAAAAAAATTAAATTATTAAATTTTAGCATAGTATGCCTGGAATCAAACACATTTTCATGTTCTGCTATATTGCTACATAGCTTTTGTCTTTAAAAACAAATTTCACACTATGCAAAACCCAGCCTATCAAGATGTAAACTTGAGTGTCTGTTCCACATTCTTAACTCATTTTACCTGCTGTGTTTATAGCCAGCAAAGACAAGGACTGGGCTCCCTCAGAGCCTCATTTGCACTTGATACTGGAAAGGTATCTGATACTGATGCTTGTGATGGATCCATTGCACCATATCAGACTGCAAGGTAAGAGACTATCATGTCCCAAAGTGCAAGATAACAAATTGACAACATCCTCCAAGAGGGAGAGAAATGAAAAAGCAATTCCTGGCATTCCATTGAGGTCTGACTAGAATTATTTTAGAAGTAGGCTCCTTTCCCTCTACTGTGACTCCTCCTAAAGTAAAAGTTCTCCTGCAATTTCAGCTGTAAAAGGAATCACATTTGCCTAACAATAGTTCCCACTTTGACAGATAAAGGAACATCTCACCTGTTAAGGAATAAAATTCTACCAAATAACCAACAAAGGCCCCTCTCCCACTATAGGAAAGTAAAATAAACTTATAGCCTAACCTGCAACTGCCCCCAAAATGTAGTCATTCCACCCAAGGACATTAAATACTTCCTATTAAGTAAGTTAGAAATGCCATGTTCATGAATACTCTTTTGGAAACAGAGAATAAAGTACATTTAAACTGGGATTCAAAAGTATATTTAAAACTGTATGTGTTGTAAGAGGGATAAAAACAAACAATAGGCAGAGCTACTAAATGACATGACTGTCTACTTTTTTGTTAGCAGATGGATTTCTGTTTAGACTTCTTTTTTCTCTGTTTAATAAGAAATAAATCCTCATCAATACTGGGACTACTGTCCTTGTGCTTTTTCCTTTTTTTTTTCCTTTTAGCTGCTTCCAAAATTTCTTGGACATATTCTTTCTTGCTGCCATGTGCCTGGAGAACTGACTTGTGACATTTTTTGCCACTCTTTGATGCATGCTTTTTATGCCCTCTAGGAAAGTCCTCCTCCATCCCATGGCCCCTTTCGGCCTCATTTCTGTGCTTCTTTGCTTTGGGTTTATCTGTCCGAGACTTCTTAGTCTTTTTAAGACACTTGTCATCTTTATGGTGTTTACCATGCTCTTTCCAAGGTTTTTTCTTTTTCTTATGGCTGTGTTCCACATGCTTTTCTTTCTTCCATGGGCTCTCCAGATGTATTGGCAAAAGGCCAGCCTCTTGCAGTTCTGTAAAACAGGACAGCTTATTTCAGTACTCACCCACAAACATGAAACCCAGTGTCACAGAAACAGAGAATCACAGAATGCTTAAGGTTGGAAGGGACCTCAGAGGTCATCTAGTCCAACTCCCCTGCTCATGCAGGGTCACCTAGAGCATGTGTCTGAGCTATCAAAGACTTCCTTATGTTATGGAGATAGGAAAGCAACTTGTTTACTCAGATTAAAGATTCTTTCACAGCGCTTTTTTTTTTATCATTATTACTATTATTTTTTTGTCAACAGGCTGGTATCCAAGCACATTAGAGTTTAATCCTCCTGTTGCCTGTGTACAGCCATTTTAATATCAATGAATTTTTGAATGAAAACATCTGACAGTGCCTGTACAGTGTTTCTGAAACAATAAATAGACAGGAAAGGATAAAGTCATAAGTCTTTTACTAACTGTAGACTACCTTTTCAAATCCCTTTTCTCAACACAAGAAAATAATCCTACAGTATTTCAAAAGATAGCAAGCACAGAAGCAAGTATTTTGAAGAAATGAGAGGCAGGCAAGAGCTATCTCTCAACACACTGTACCTTCAACCTTCCTTTTTAGTCTGTTAGCTCTCCTCTTGATGTCATATTCATCATCATAGTAGTAGATAAATGGGGAAGCAGGGAAAACGCTCCCATGCATCCGCCTCTCTGAACACTCCTGCAAAACACATTTCAAGTCATTAGATATAGCCAAATTATGACTCTCAGGCAAAGGAAAAGTATCAGATTTTGCAATTTATTTCCAATAATATTTTCTATATATAGAAATACACACCTATACACATTTCCATACGCATTAAATGAGCTAAATCACAGTTCTCTTACAGCACAGCAAAGGAATCTCATATTTCCCCTTTATTATGACAGATATGTAGCACTCAAAAAAGAGGAATAAACCTAGGTGAACACAATGCAAATGCCAGACTCAACCTGGCTGCTGCACTGTCTGCAACGGAGCCAGGTTCAAACCTTTCCTGCTTTAGCTGCTTCTTACTGCCCCCTCCAGTCTCCCAGCACAACTACTTGTATGGGCAGTAACCCTAACTTGTCAAAAGACTGATACTTCTTCATGTAAAGGACCTTTTTTAACCTGGATCATTTGAGGGAACTCTATGTGCTGAAAGGTGGCAGATTCAAAGGGCTGGAGGAGAAAATATAAGTGAAGACCAGATACAGACTGCAGCATCCCCATGTAGCTCATCTGATACCAGTTCTATGTCTGACCATACACAGTTTTCTCTTAGATGCAGAACAAAACAAAAGAACAAAACAAATCCTGCAGAACATTTTCCTATGCAAACCTAAGAGGAAGAGGTGTGAATGGTTTAAATCATGGGTATGTGAGCTTATTTCTCAAGTACTTGAACCAATAATACAGATTTCTTCACTACTATTTGTTCACCATGCCTTGTGGGGCAGGCTAACAAAACCTGTGATGCTTGGTAGGATACTGCTCTTTTTCCATGTGATATTAATTGATAATTTGCTTTCCTTGCAAATTGCTTATTAGTTGTTCAGTTTCCCAATACTTTTCTACTTCTCGGACATTGACCAAATCTACTGAACTCTGGGCCTTGTAGTAAAAACTCTCAAGAGCTTTCACTCACCCTGCTGCTTACACCATAGGCTAATCAGCTTTCTCTCCTGCACTTGTTACTTCTTCCATACCGTACCTCTAACTTTTAGAGGTTTTAGGCATTACTTTTCCCTCCATATTCTACCTTTTCTTCTTTCTTGTTTTCAAACATAGTATCAGAAATGTTGTTAGTTAGGGACCAAAAAGATTGTCTCCACACAGTCAAGGGAGAGCACTGGAATAATGCAGCTTATAGCTGGAATTTATCTAGGTCTCTGCCTGCAGCCTTTTCATGACTGCAGTATCAGGCTGAAAGAGAGCTAGGAGGGGCCATTTAACACTACTCTGCACCAGATGCCATTCTCAGTAAGCACTCCTCCATGCTCCGGGGTGGAGCTTAGGGATATCTAGGAAGGCCAATGGGATTTTACACCTAAGGAGCTTAAATACTTAGAATTTCCCCCAAATAAATTTATTTTACCTCCCACAATTTCTCCATTTAATTCTCTCAGATTTAAGAGGGCAGAAAAGCACAGCAGAAATATGACATTTGAAACATCTATGCTTCAGATGAGCAGAATCTAAGAGAAGCTTTTAGACAGGACAAAATATTGTCTCAGTATATTGAAGAAAGACATTACCCTTAAACATTTAAAATAGGTTATTGAAAGCAACATGGATCTGCTTTACATAGGAGTATGTAAAGCCATGCTTATCTCTGTTTGATACCTGTCAAACTTGATGTTTCGTATCACAACATCACAGGTGTTGCACTAAGTCTAGCGCTTGTTTTATAGGCAAGGACCTTTCACTATTTTTCACTTGGTTAATATGCTGATAGAAAAGTCCTAGTAAATGAAATGCACATGCCACCAAATCAGCACTATTTCTCTCTTTTTAACTTCACTTCAGTGAAACAAATCAATTCAGCAATGTCCAAAATACACTTTTCTGTATCCTTTCCTCTCAAGTAAGCTGCCACTACTGCCATACACTTTGTACTGTTAAATACTCTCGGGGCATTCTTTAGCACTGGAGGTATCACACAGAGGATGGATAGCATAGCCTGCTATCAAGCCACAAGAGAAATTTTCTGTTTGATTGGCACATTGGGATGTAAATGCAAGGCAGATCTGCAGATACTGTCTACTTCCTTATCCCTGCTGCCTGAAAACTTGCTGCTGCAAGCTGCATAGCGCAATGGGATGTTCTGGATTAACTTTTTATTGTTTTAATAAATAATACACCAAATTCAATAAGCAGAATTGTTAGGTGTTGCAACACTGCCAGGTTATGTCTTAATTATTTCCTCTTCTGCCACCAACAGTGAGTGGTTCAAAATGATTTTCTAACCAGAAACGGTCCCGTTTACTCTTGGATTTAGGTTACTAATTAGGTTTTGCAATTCCCTGAGTTTTTTTGAAATGGTCTTCGTAGATCTCTAGTGAAGAAATGAAATTTCAGGTGTTCCTTGGCTAGATCTAATGATACTGTAAAAGAACAACACTGTAGTGAGAAGTACTGACTCAGATGAGTCAAAATCTGTCCCAGTCTTACCTTTTTGGGCAATTTATCAACTGCTTTAACTGTTTGATAGAGCCTCTATACACAGACCTTGAAGTACAGATATAGGAAAGCTAAGATGCTGATATGAAGGTAGAGATGTTTATCATTTAAAGTAAGTTTTACAGATTAACAAACATTTTTTTAATGCTTTCTTTTCTTTAAATTATATCTTCCAGGCTCTGGAAGGGGCAGCCCATTGCATGAAGACCAAGAGTGATTATTATCACAGTTTTCTTGGCCAGCAGGAGTTACAGATCTCAAATATATTTCCAGTCCAGCTGAATCAGGATAAAGATGCACATGCTTGCCTTAGTCTAGATTGTTTGGTCATTTTTGAATTGAAGAATTAGTTCAGTGATTGGAAAGTAAATATTCAATCACCATTATATTAACCAAATATATTATGTGCATACTCTTCTATCTGCAGATAAGAAGTTCTGTTGAGTACTTTTGCCTTTCTGTATCATTACTGAGTTTTCTCATTTGAATTTTGTAGTGCCCTTTGTGCACTACAAAAAAAACACCATTTCATCTCCGAAATTGTGGTAGTGACAGAATGTTGTCCCTGAATCATTTTAGTAACTGCTATTAATTTCTCCTATATTTTTATTAAATACTTTTACTGCAGCCTTGATTGTAACTACGTGTGAATGTCATTGTTAGTAGTTATTAAAATGTTCCTTACAAATTGCCAATGTTCATTCACATTTTGTTCAAGCCTCTAAATTCAGGTTTACTCTATATGCCCACTGTATTGTATACATAACTCATAGGCTTGTCTATAAAAATGTAATCAGTTTCAATGCTTCTCTCATATAAAGTTTTAATAACTATGTTCCGAAACACTGTATGGGACATGGTATGACACGAACCAAGTGTTGACATACTCCACCTTCATGAGACAGGTAGTTATATCTTAAGCTGGTATCTTGCACTATTACTTCATTCCATGAAGCCACCAAAAAAATGGAGAAGAGAGGTATGCTCAGCAACTGTCCATTTTCCAGTATCTTCTTTCAAAGAGAGCCTTATTTTAACTCAGGTGAAAACAAAACAAAACAAAACAACCTGACCCTCAAAAAAACCTCCCAAGCTCCACTAGGAATTTTTGAAATAATTTTTAAATTAGATAGAGGTGATCTCTTTAAATGGGCCTCTTAATAATTATGTCAATGCTGCAAACTCAGAAACATTCCAGTACGGCAACTCTTATTTATAGCATTAGCTTGATTATTTCAGCTCATTTTTCCAGCCACAAGGTATGGCAGAGATGAGAAGTGGTACGCTTCAGATATATTCAACATTGAAGCAGGTATTATTAAGACTTACATATCCAAAATGTCCTTCCCGGGAACAGTTGTAGCAGTACACTAAAGCAGAGGGCTCGGAGTGAGAACTAGCCATCTTAATTGGTCCTGGTTTTGTCTGAAAGATGGAAATTGGTGAGAATTAAGAATTAAAATTTTTCTGAATGCTGAATTAAAAATACATTAAAATTACATAAATAGGATTTTACTATGCTTATATCAATATATTCCTCCTTGCTGCACGAATATTGTTTGAAAAAGTGACTTGTTCATATCACTGTAAACTTGCAGAACAAATTAAATTCTGAGCATCATAAGTGAGATGCAACCTTAGTATCCATTCCGCTTGGCAATTTTATTTCAGCTCTGAATCCAAGAAAATAGGCTGCTGATTTATATCTCTTTCCTCCTCCTTTTCTCCCAGTGTTCTTCCTTCTTACACAGATGCCCCACTATCCCCAGGGAACAGATAGGGCCATCAGATATAACATCCACCAGCTGTATAGGCACATTTGTGTATTGCTAAACTAGTCCCTCTCAGCAGTGTTCACTTAAAGCAATATGGTAAAGATCTGAGAGAGATGCAGCCTTCACCTGCTGCATTCCCAAACCTCTATCAAATTCCAAAAACCATCTCAGGAAAGAAATATTCATTCACTAAAGCAACTTAGTATTTTTAGGGTTCCATGCATTTCCTTCCCATTGACTCTGAAAAAGCACGGAAGAATGTCCTAGATTTCAAAGAAATTAGAAATATTTTGCAAAACTCACTTTAACCTTTTTTTTCTTTAAATCGTTCTCATCATGTTCATGTACTTACTGAAACCACTGTCTTTTCCTGAATAGTCTCCAGAAAAATGACCACAACGCACATAAAATATGCAAAAACCACAGACTTCCTCTACATTTTTTTTTTATGAGTCTGATCACACTTGTAGGGTTGCTGTATTTTGAACTCCCTTCCCTTACAGGTTTAAATGTGTATTTCAGATTCATTTGACTAAGTTCACTCTCACTCACCAGTAAGGTGGGAGAACGAAGTGTAACAAAAGTGATACGTCCAGCAATAAATAGCATGAAAAACAAACGGCACTACAAAGTATTAATTATATGTTATCTTTTGACTACCGTACCTAATCTCTGTAAGAGAAGTGCAATCTGGAAACATTTACCTTACCCGGAAACAATCTCCCATAAGGCCTCCGTTGGCAGATATAGAAAGATATTAAAGTTTTCTGATGCTATTGTACAAGAAGTACAGAGCACGAGATCTTGAAGAGTATTAGGAATGTGATCCCAACTTTTCCTACTCTACATTCCCTTCCAAAATAGATCCCTAAACCCCATCCCCACCACGTCATTTCCTTTTGTTTAGCTAATAGAAAAGGTCACATTTAAGGATAGAAATTAAACTGCACACTTAAGAGTCAGATTACAACATAACTTCACTTCTTTCCAAAGCCAAATAACAAACAAAACCTGTATTGTACAAACGCTCTGTCTTCCTATTATTTAAGGCTTAAAAAAACATCGAAAGACTCCAGCCATATGGGTACAAAATAAACTATTCATGAACGTAGCTTCTCTATGTTATAGGGTTTTTTTCCTTTTTTTTTTTTTTCTTTTTTTTTTTGTTACAAACATTTAAATAATCTATATTTGTAGGGTGATATCTTGGAGATTACTTCACTATCAATATATAGGAGTAATAACCTGGTAGATAGCATTAACTATGAAAGGTCCATCCCATCTGCTATTCTTGCTGAAAGCTTTTCATGCACCAGTAAACTCAGTAAATATCAGAAGATAAAGCATAAGCCTACCACGCCAAGGATTTACTCCTAATGTCTCCTCAAAGTGCAGCCTGATGCAACGATTACAAATGATTTTTCTTCTAATGTCATTTTACATAACCCTTTTTTCTGCATGAGTAGTTAGTGTGGAATGAATGAATGAATGAATGCCATTAAAACAGTTAATCATTATCTGGGACACTGGCCTTCCTCCCTTCTCAACTAGGAATCTCCATGACAAAGGCCAAGAGATCAAAATGCCAGGGCTGCCTCACTGCCCCATTTCTGTCAGTAATTTTTTATGCAAATGGTCCTGCTGGGCAGCTCCCTCTGTGACCTTGAACTGCCCTTATCTAAACTGACTTTGATCCAATGAGGGCTTGCTTTTGTGAAGCTCATTACTACTTGGGATCTGCAATCTTGTACTAAAGAAAATCTTCCAATCTCCTTTTTTTTGTCTATTTTCTGTTCTTTTTTTATTGTACAGTGTGTAGACCTTGACAGCAGGGAGAATCAGAAGAGAGATTCTTCTCTGCAGATCAAACTGCTCTTATTTGACAAATGTATTTCATAGCTATTCATGTAAGTTGATTCTTAAGGTAAAGCATACTTTATTATTCAAACTTAACCCAAGACACAAATTCAAATTTAGTAGAGATCAAATGTAGTTTGAAATCGATCTGTGCAAAGTATACTCTCTAATTAAAGTCACAGGCATCTAAAGATGCATTTGATCCATATTGACAGGTGAAGTACTATCTGAAAAAAAACTACATAGGCAGTGAAACTACTCTGACAACTAAGAAAAGTGGAAAATGCCAACCAGAGCCTCATGATCAGATGAAAGGAAAGACATGACCTTAAGCAGCTTAAGGTCTGCTTTGCTTTTTGTTTTTTGGGGTTGGGGGGGTAAAATCAAACAATATTTTAGGCAACACTATCTTAGCATGTGCCATAGCAATTTGACAAATTCTGTAGAGTGTATCTTAGGATTGTCTGATTTAAGGCTACTAACACCACATCTGCACCACCTACTTCTTTTCTCCCATGCAGATAAGGGACAGTTATTTCTTTTGATTCACTATATTAACTGCTATGTTCACATCTAACAGATCACTTTACCCCCAGTATTATTCTTTGCTGCACTCTAGCATTAAATAATCAAATTATGGACTAAAGTGTGAGTGGAGGAGAAACACCCACCACACAAACCAAGCAAATGCTGTGTGGTGCTCCTTGTTCTAACATGGTCGCCATCAAAATCAATGGAAGAGTTTTGCAAGCAGACTAGTCTGTTTTGTGCAACTAAGAGAAACAAGACTGAAGGCTGGGGCTCGAAATCATTAGCAGTGATATTCTGCCATTTTTTTGAGCTACTGAAAGATGATCACCAATTGAATCTTTATACACTGCAGGCATTACTAGAGCTAGACAAGGACATGGTCAAAGCAACTGTACCAATGGAAATACAAATTTATGTCTCCTTACAAATTATCACAGTTTGCCTGCATTTTAGCTAACACAATGGTAGGTGAGCATCATTTCCCTATATTCAAAATTGCCAATATAAGACCTCTTGTAATATTGTAATTATACAGAGGGGTTTTGTTGCTGTTATTTTCTTTAACCATGTCATGCACCCAGTAGACTTGCACTCCATTGGGTAATTCCTTAATTAGGCAGATTTTTCAAACAAGTATTATGTACACAACAGACCGTAACGTCTCCTTTGGAGTCTTCCTAGTCTATCAGGTGATTACATCATTAAAGCCACACATGCTACGTAGTAAAAATCCTTATGAAAATTCATGAAAAAAATAAATTGAGCTTTATGCATGTTAAAATATGAGAAACAATCAAATTCAATATTTTGACTTTTAAATCCACCAAACTCCAACCAATTTTGAATATGATCTTTTTTTCCCAAATTTTATTTCTTTGTTTCTCCATCCACTAAAAAAAATCCTTTTTCCAAAAGAAGCTGTGGATGTCTCCCAAATACGGAACTATTCTTTTTAAAATGACACATTGGTCTCTTCATAAAATTACATCTTGTGTTTTCTATAAATAAACACAATGAATTTTCAAATAAAAACACTAAGACAATAGTGAAGTTTTTTTTATAAGTAAATGCTACACTTTAACTCATGAATCAGTGTATTATTTTTGATGGCACAGTCTGAAAAAGCAAAGTCTTTCCAAGAAGAAGGAATAGAAGAAGGAATGTAAGTTGTCTAGTCTAGAGTACAAGCATTATGATGTGGTGGTTTCTGCAGAAATAGATAGTTATATAATGAATTTAAATAAATGCAAATAGCATCTACAAATGACTGTGTGAAAAGCTTAGAGCAAGAGACAGAAATCACAAAATAACTTAGCTAAAGAAATTACTGTAGATACTCTTCTAAGAAAATATAAAATACTAAAATATTAATACAGGAGGCTTTTTCTTCTGAAAAAAAGAATAAAAATTTCTGATTAATATAGAAGATGAATATATGCAAGAAGGTAAAGATAACAATGCACCCCCTGAATGCTTCAAAATCTTCGTAGTTAACAGGCATCCCAATTTTCTCCAAAGGTGGTGGCATCTATCCAGTCGTCCATGGCTAATTTTACATGGAATGCAAAACATTATTAAAATAGGATGGTGCATTAAACTCCAACTATTTCTGATGTAGCTCTCAAACTACAAACCTATCTTTCTTCTATTTTAATTTTAAAGTAAGTTAGCAAACACTTCCTTCTTAATCCCCTGAGACTATCTGTACAGTGACACAAATGCACAAATTTATGACAGTAACATAAATGGTCCTCTAAAGTAATGTGCAACATTAAGTGAAATCGTTTCCTGGGAAGATATTATAGGTATCTATATTTTATTTGCCATCTTAAACATATCTGGGTCTTTATGACCTTATTTTTAAAATGTATTTCCTTTTTACATTTCCTGGTGCAAATGGACTGCATAAATAAGCAATGTGCTATGAGGCTTCAGACTAGCCGATAAACCCTTTCAATTTTCATGCCAGCTTCTTCTTTTGTAATTCAAATCTAGCTGGAAACTGGCAGCTCTGAAAACTGAAACAAGCACTGCCACAAATACCTTGTAATGCTATCGACCTTGTCTGCCCATGCAGTGAGAAAGGGGGATGCATATGTGTCTGCAGTCATCCAGATAACACAACTCATTTTTTTGGGGGGATAACAGAAGCCAGCCCCGGACTGTGCACCAAAAGCAGTCATTACCAGGCAAGCTGGAGAATAAGTCTCTTCAAAATACACAGTGCATTTAAAAACCATATACAGGGCTCAGCCACTGCTT